CCCCCCACCCCTCCTTCTACGGTATGGAACATTTAGTGAAGAAATTTATTTCAAGGGATGAAAACTGTAAGTGTATAGATAGCGCGGGAAAACAATCTGAAAATAAGAACGAATTTGGTTTGGAAAGGAGAAATTATTTTCTATTTGCAATAAAAGGTGTGCACCTAAAATCCAATTTCGTCGATGCGTTAGAGATTCTGTAGTCTAAAATGTACAAGAGTAAATTAATGATTCACTTATATGGCCCATGAAATTATAAGTAGCATGAGATAAACTATATTTCCATAAGTTATTGGAGTGTACTATAAAAAGGGCAATTCGTTAACGTAAAAAACATCTTCAGAAAAATGATTTAATACATTTTTTGGTAGATTGGACACTCTTTCTACACTAATTAGATGTTTATGATTAAATTGCAGTAAAAACTAATTGTCTCAAGCTCAAACTAATTAATAATAATTTGATTAAATACTTGACGAATTACCTATGCAGAGATTTAGTCGACTTCGCTGCAATGGCAATGAATGGCTTGACAATACTTCGGCGAATTTGCATCATGTAAAAACAGAGCCGTGATAGAACCTAGTAAAATAGCAAATTGGATTAAATAGTCTACTTCTATAGCGTAATTAAAATACTTGAAATAATTAAACTCACTGAATATGCAAATAACTCCACACGCCATGAAGATTTCCATAAGATAGTGCTCCAAAGTCACAAAGTAGACTATCGAGGAGCAAATAAGACTGCCAGGAAGCTGTTTTTAATAAGTAAAGTAAATAAACATTTTATTATGTTTCGATTGTCAATTTCATTGAACTTACAAACGCGCTGAAGACAATGGCATAGTTAGCGGCAAAATATTTGTGTCCAAAGCGGCGTGAAATACCGAAAGGTATGAAGACAAAATTTCCAGCAACGCATAGATAGATGCAGACCACCCAAACAGCGAAGAGATACTTCCCAGCCGTAGGAATAGATGGGATGAAAGGTAACGTAATAAGGGTAATACCGTAAAAGCAATTCAAGCCTATTAATGGAACCTAAAATGCCAGTAGGGATATTAATTTAGCCTAGCAGTAGAATAAATTTTAACATAGTAGTAAATCACCTTGTAGGAGAAATTATCACCAACCGGACCCCAGCCAATTCTTGATAGAGTATTGAAAACGGCTCCGAAGGTACTTACTGTGCTCAGATACTTATCGTCCCGAATAGATCGTTGTCCAACGACCTTAGTAACATCATATCATTATAATAGCTCTGATTAAATCGGCTTTTAAAGATTCATTTACAAATATCTACCTTAATTGTTGCAGTAATGAGCGTAAGGGGAATAATGGAAAAGCACATGATTGTCCAAAAGAGGTAGATATCCACTTTCCTCAACACTCTTCTAGGAGGAACATCCGCATCGTCCAAACTTTCATTACATAACCTATCGAAATTAACTGTTGTTATAATAATATTTACAATGGGATATATATAATATTGAGCAGTTTTTGAGGTAAATCATTAATACAATGACTTCTAACATGTGGCAGGTTAAATAAATCTTTTTCTAAACAAGCATATTTTGGAAATAAAAAGGATGAGAATAATGCGAAAATTAATATTATTTCAAATTAATTACTAAGCAACCTTTAAGACTTGCTTACGTAGAATTGTTGTTAAAATCATCCATCAATATGTCATCACATTCAATTTTCTAAATTGAAAGATGGAGAAATTTGTATAAGATATATTATACCTAATTATAAAACTTCTTGAAAAAATTTGACAAAAGGTTAGAGCAAATTTACTTGAAAAAAATTACCTTTTCTTCTGGTCGAGGATGAACAAAAATGAAGCCGATCAGTTGAATGCATGACATTACCCCACCCACTATTAAAAGGCATCTCGGCACACGTTGCAATAGATCCTCATCGTCAAACATTCTAAATTCAATTATCGTATATTTACAAAGAATATCCGATAATTTATATTGATTTAATCCAATGGCTTACTGGGATTCGTTGTTGATAGCAATGTTATTGGGATTAATAATGAGAGTCTGAATTGGGGTTAAGATGATTGCACCAGTCCCAAATCCACAAGTACAGATACCGACCACCAAACCGCGATGCTTCGGAAACCACTGTTTTTAAACAATTCTCAATTAATAAAAAGGGGTAGATTTATTGGAAAGTTCTTAGTACAACTGACGTAGTACTTTAATAAAACATGTATAATTGTAATCAATTCCAAATCCTTCCAGTCAATAATTTATAATCTAGAGAATTTTCAATGTTTCCAATATGTACATTTTATTGTACTTTTCTTTGGTATATGTCAATTTCATTTTATTCAACTTTTTTGGCACTGTATTCAATAAATGTGATCATTTTCATTTTTATGCATGCCACATCTGATAAAAATCTTCTGCACTCTCCTGAAGACTTTTCAAGTAAACCTTTCAGATGACTGGGATCTCATGCGTAACTCAAATCATCTTTAGCTCACCGAAGCAGCGGCTGAGAGCAGCAGACCATATGAGGAGCCAATGCCCCAGCCAACCATGATGGCGTAGGTGCAGATAACAGCCCAGAATCCGACTTTGAGTGTCACCACTGTCAACAATATCCCTAAACTAAAAAAAACATATCCTTTTTGCAAGAGCTATTAAATGCTGCTTAATCAAAACTCAATTTGCAATTTCAAATGCTATTATTCTTTTAAATTGGTAGTAAAATACCTAAAAAATAATTTCCTAAGTACAAAGTTTTCATTACGCGGTGTTTTCTTCTACTAAAATGAATTGAAGTAGCAATAATATTCGGGATATAATAGTTAAGGTATTCAGTTAGCCACGATTTTCAGTTAAAAATCTACCTTAAATGGTTTGTTTTTCTTTGTGGAAATGGATTTTTCTGAAAAATATGATTCATTTATACTAGCTGCTCTCTTGCAATCATTATGCCAATCCTAAACTGCTTAATATTTAATATCATTGACCGTTTATTATATTTTTCATAATTATTTATTACTTATCGTTTGTTGCGTTAAATATAGCCCAGAAGTGAACAAATTTAAACGACACCCAAATTTAAGCGTTTTGGTGAATTTTATAAATGCTGTATATTGTTATGAATAATACTCAATAAAACTAAAAAAGGTTGTAGTTTGGCTCTATGAAATAAGAAATCTTGGGGTGTGCGATAGACTTACCTCCACGTGGTACACCCTGGGCAATGCATACTCATACGGCAAAAAAGTCTTTTAACCGGCAGTTGACTCCTGACATCAAATTACAATGACCCTACTGTATGTCATATTCGATCCCTTCAACAGTACTCATTTTACCTTTTTTATGCCTTTGTGTCTGTCTGCCTCTGTCACATCTGTGAATCATTATTCTGTCCCCCCCTCTCCACTTTTTGTCACATTGATGTTCCTCCTCCCCTCTATGAAGCCCGAAGTCAACTAAAGGGCTAATGAAAGCCATCAAAACGCCTGCCACTTGAAATAAAAAAATGTCAGAAATCAGAATACATTGCAACATGGGGGAGAGAGCGCGTCTTCTTAGTCCAAAACAAGGCATCTAAATAAACTATGTTTGTTAAATAATGGTGTTATACCCTTTACCTTGTGGCACGTGGGTAAATTCTATCATCTCATCAGCAACGATGTGGATGAGAGTAAGGGGGAGTAAGTGGGTTTTCACTTTGTGTAAAACGACAAAGAGCTACTTCGAAGATGTCTTTTATTTGAAATTGTAAATTATCGCAAAACATCGTTTGCAAAAATAGTTCCCTTCAATCTTGCTTAGAAATACTCAGCCCAATATATTTTTCTGAAGGCAAAAAGCAACATTCAAATAATTTTTCTCAAAGAATTTTTTTCTTTATTGTAAGAGGTAAAATATAATTTCAATTTCAGAGTAAATGGATTTCATTTTTTGATTATAGTTAGATTAATTTCTCGTACAAATTTAAATACTAAATATTAACTTTTGAGGTATAATAGAAACCAATTGCAATATAGTTTGTTTTCATTGGATTCAGAAAATATAGATTTTTAATTGAAAAAGGTTATTTAATAATCGACCTACTATTTGAAGATTTCTGAGTATGATATGAATCAAATGAATTTTGCAATACGTTTTTTTATTAATTCAGGTTAAAGCCTTGATTTTATTTATTAGTTCAATTCAAATAGGCACGCATTTCAATACGTAAAAGTTATACATACTTATTAAGAGTAACTTTAGTATAAGAATGATAACTTGCATACAATTCTTTCTATTTCAACTACTGAAATCATGTAAGATTTTATCAAACGTGAACTTTAGAAATTGAGTTGTTTTATTATAAATTTGTGAGCCAATAGAAGATTGCATAATATCTTTACCTGTGAATTAGCCAAGAAACAAAAAGAAGGGGTTTCAGACCTAATTTTGGTAGAAGCATTGTGGTGAGAGGAGTCGAGATGCCTTGAATTGCATGCAGACAACACGAAATCCAAATTGAATGGCTATAGTCCAAAGCCGCATCCGTGTGACGGTGTAAATAGGAGGCCAAGTAGGGCATCATGTTGGCTAAAGTAAATATGGCGCTTATTGAGAGGGGAACGGTGTTAGTAACTCACCCAAAGTTGCTGCTTGTCCTAGTGGAGCCAGTCCAAAACAGGCCATGAGGATAACAAAGCATCCCCTTAGGGTTTTTTCCGACATCAATTTAGAGATCATGATGCAGATTTGCGGCCCTGGATGTTAGACTAGTGTTGAAATAAATACCAATTTTGAACATCGGTATTTTCGTATATGAATGAAGAATCTTAATGCCATGAACAATCACTGGCAAAATCCCAAATTCTAAATACTTCACTTTTAACAATAGCCGAATTGAATCAGTGAAAAATATTTCATCTTTTAAATAAAAGGCTCATCTTCGACAATTTTCCAGTAAAAAATCAAAGTGCATATCGTGTTGATTGTTGTTACAGGGGAAGGTGTTCATACAATGGGAATAAAATATCTTATATAGATTCATAAAATATAATTTAACGTAGTTATTTAAAATTTTAAAAGAAACTGATTTATAAAAATTTTTAATTTCTTATGCTTAAAATGAACAGTTAAGAAAAATTTGGCTAATAAATATTTAAAGATCCATGACATAACTGCATCATCAAAATCTCAAAGTTAAGAAGATTAAGTTAAGATTTATCGTAATATCTAGCACCAATTTAAATTAAATCTGCACGCAAAAATTATTGATATAATTTCTTTGAAGTTATTAGGTGAACACGCGTTTGTGAAGTCAGTTGAACGATAAACAGATCACTAGTCTTATCTTGAAAAGATTGATGATACCGAATGTATGAACTACTCAACCGGAAATCATTTCGACGCGATAATGGTGCTTCGTGCCGGCTTTGTAAACTACAGGAAATAGATTACCGGATATCGTGTGCTAAGTTATTGAGTGATAAATTGATGGAAATTTCGCTATAATTATGTAATTAATTAAATTTGCAGATATTGCCATTAACTGTTCAAAATCTAGGCAACTTTCTGATTGGTGCCAATTTTTTTTAAGAATAAGTAAAAGTAAAATTGTGGCAAAAGCGTTTTGAAAAAAATGAGGGCTTACTCAGCGCTGCTCACTGATTATTTTGATAATGAATGAAAACTAAAAATAAAAATCTGAACTTTCATGCAAATATTCCAGTTAAATACAACAAAAATAAAATATTAATTAAACTTAAGATATTTTAATTAATTGTGAAATTAAGTTATCAAATAAGCATAAATTCAATTGATTATCAAACAAAATACCCTCAAAGTAATGCTCTATTAAATAAAGAGTATTTGCAATTAATTTTTGTCCACTTAAATTTATTTGAGCAGTTTTTCAAAGCGATTGCAGTAAGAGATTAGTGACCATCAATGAGTAAGAACATATAAAGCAAGTTGCAATTATCGTTGAAATAATTTTAATCACTCTTATTGTATATCCACTCATATTACTGTTTCATAATTGCGAATTAACAATGCAAATCTTTCAGAACTTAATGCAGAGGTAAAACTTTGTCTTTCATACCGTAATAAACAACTAAATTTGTAGTAGTCGTTGTAAACTTACCCCGTCGGTTTTAATTTGAGAAAAATTGAAATCTTGACGGATTTTCATATATAGGGGCAGATGCTGTTTACAATGTACATTGTATTTACACCTCTGACGTGTTGTTTATGTGAATTGAATTTCTAATATTTGATAGATTCACCTTGCAAAGTACAGTCATTTTTAAGCTTCATTCCAAACTATACAAATTTTCTCAAATATGACCGTTATTTATAAAATTAACATTTGCAAAGGAAGAAAACTTATAAATAGATTGCCGAAAGCAAAGTTGATAGAATCCGTAATTAGATTTATCAAAGGTTGGTGTGAAGAACATGATGATGTATTACACAAAATTCGTTCTTGGCTGCCAAACCTCAAGGTTAAATATTTGCTTCAGTCAATACAATCATGCTCGTTTTTAACCCATTGAAAAGTTCCACAAATGTTAAGATTGCCTTCAGCCGATGATGCGTGAATAAAATCAACACATTTTGAAAGATATCCTGGAGCTGAATGGAAGATAACTCGTTGCACCTTATAAATTAATGATTGTTTTCAAAAATTAAAAGTTAGTACCACTTATTGTAAGGCCAAAAATTTCACTCAAGCTTATTTTTTCAATTCTCAATGCTATAAATATATTGCTTGCAATAAAGTTGTAGCGAATTGCTACGCTAGTAAAGCCTGACCGACTCAGAAATCTCTATGGCAGATTCTCCAACATCTAGCTAGACTCCCAAAACAAGCTAAGCTATAGCCCAGCTATAAGGGAAACAGACGTGTAGCCCGGAATACGTTTCTTCGGTAGGTATTTTAATAGCGAAGTGTCATGTTGGCAAAGCGATTAGTTATCAGATAACTCTAGCATAATTCGTTTGAACTTTAATGACTAAATATTTGTGAGTAGTATTCTATAGCCGGATTTCTATTTGGTCATTGATTAAGTGTCCAACAAAGTATTAAATAAGTTCCACCCTTAATTCTGTTCATTTTAAGATTTTATACTGAGTCTCTCTGGATAAATTGCCCCTATTCTGGCTAAAGAATTCGTATCTAAACAGTTAGGATCACCCCTTACTAAAATCTTATGTATAGTGCATGGTTCATCATGCCAAAAATAAAGGCCTCCTATTTGTTTGCATTCAATCTAACTACTCCTCTGTGTTTATTAACAACTCAGTGCTACGATCGATTTGAATGAGTTTTCTTCCTTACGGTGTAATATTTAATATTCTTCTCGCAAATGTTTAGGCTAAGTCAGAGGAGTTGAGGCACTCTAATGTAAAGCACTGGGTCACATATATAATTTATTCAACGGTTTTTTAGCAATCAGGAAAGTCCGGCGTTCAGGTAGAGGCACTGAGGGTAAATCCAGATTTGAATATAAACCGATGAGTCTTTAAACCACATTTTCTGATAAATAAAAACATTCATCTTAGTGCAAATGCGATATTTTCTAAACAACCTATCTTAATTCGTCGAAATTTCCAAGGAATCTCTATAAATCGATCATCAGAAAACCCAAGGCCAATTATTATTCTGTGTTTAGCTATCCAGGATGAATAGCACTTTTTCGAGTTTTATAATAAGGCTCTTTTAGCGGTAATTCATATACTATTTTACTGGTCTCTAAATGGATCATGTCGTTAACTCTTTATTTCATCCCACGAATTTGCACTTTATTTAAAAATTCATTGGACAAGAATTCAGCGAATACATTACTAAAGTGGTTAGAGCTTTGAAATATATGTTTACCTTATTTTAAGTAAACGAAACAAAGCTAAAACTATTGCAAATCAAATAATAGTTAAATCATACAGCATTGTGTGGGCTAACTCAAACACCTTTTTGAGTAAATAAAGAGGTTCATGGACTTTACTCAAGCCCTAAACAGAAGTTGTGAAACATGAAAATATAAACCCCACTCATTTAAAATTCAAATCTCCCGACTTATTGTTTTTTTCATTTTATCGACTAGGGGAAATGGGAGCGTTACTAAAACTAAATCACTTTAAACCTGACCATTTCTTCTTCCATATTCAGGAAAACTGGAATTCCATTTTTATTACAAAGTTAAGTTGGCAGATGTTTACCAATTATTATTTCTTAAAATTCTAGAGCAAGTGGAACTATCATCCACCTCCTTTTCAACACATAGTGTAAAAGAACAGTGCGAATTAAAAATGCTACTTTCACGTTTAACACCTCACTCATATAATTAGAAGAAATAATGGAAATATGCAGCATTTGGTCAAAATCATATTGCAATTGAACATTTGCTGCCTGTTGTCTCTTGATCACATTAATAAGTAGCAAAGACATAAGCAGATCGAGTATTGTTTGCAAACTGAGATCAATTGATTTGTCTTACTGTTGTACCACTTGCAAAATAGCTTCATTTAATAATAATGTTATGTACTACAGGATACTGTACACCATACTACTTTGGTAAACGGATACAGAGACTGCATGTTGAAATGAATGGAAATGATGAGAAGAATATTGCAAAAATTAGTGCACATTTTTAAAATCAGCTCAGAATAATCCCTGCTAATTTGACAACTTTCTCTAAGTGATTGTCAAAAAATCGCGAAATTATCTAAATCCAAGTAGTACAAATTGTTGTAACCATGAACCGAAGCTCTCAAATCCGTAAAATACCGAGTAGAGGATAGAAGACAAAACGAAAAAATAACAAGTGAATACAATTTTCACTGCCTCTACTCAGACACTCTCTCCCCTTTTTAATTCTCTTCGTCTTTTCATAAGGTTGTTTCGATTGATCCTCTGAAACAGTATACTTCATTCAATTTTGGTTTAGAAGGCATGCCCTAATTTTATTACAAGAGTGGTTTCATTTCAACAAGATTCATTGTAAGTTCCTGTCTTCTCATTCGAGTGTGAGTTATATTTTCAATTCGCCTTAACAAATCGATTACGTCCAACTGCCAAAAGACCAATTAGACTGAATTTGAAGTATTTAGTTCGGATTCACTGATTATCATCCCATATGTGTCTTTCTATTTTACCTTCAAATTTCAGATTTTGCAGGTGACATTGCTTGTAACCCCACTTGAAGTAAAAAGGGTCGCTCTACTCTATTTTTTTTTAAATTTTTGTGAGATCAGGATTATATCAGCTAGCTTATTTTTAAAGAATGTCTATTCCAAATAAATATGCCAACATTAAAGTAAACTGAGTTGCTAAAAGGCAAACTGTAACTCAGAAACAGCAAGCTGTGCCTAGAAATTCAGAGTCTTCACAAAGGGGCATCAAGGTCAAAAGAAGACTGGGACTAACAAAATTTCATCTTCGATGGAATCCATATTTCATTTCAATTACGCTATCCATTTGAATAAAATTCTAAAGCATGGTGATATTCTAGAATTTCTTTCTTAATTAAAATAGGCGGTGATCATTATTACTACTTTTATTGAAGATCAAATGGAACTAATGGGTAAATTTGCAAGGGGTATAATCAAAAAGCGTAGGTGTGTCATCGAAAATGTCCATGCTACTATTACGTGGCATTGTTGCCTAATGTGTCTTCAGGGATGTATTTGGGAATTTACAACTTGGAAATAAAGTAACTTTAAAACTTTAATACAGCAACCAATAT